AGAGTCCTCGTTATGCGACCTTAAAATGCGTCCTTCTTTTTGCCCGATTTGCAGCCCAGGATTTCGAACAGAGCCTAGGTGACTGCCAGAGAGTAATCAGACTGTTTGCTGTAGATCTATAGATCACACCAAAGACAGGCTGATTGCAGCAAATTAGGGATTAAATCCACATCATTCCACAGTTCCTCGGTTAGAGAAAGTACATTTAAATAATCTAATTTAAAAGGCAGCTGGAGTTAACTGATCAATTTTCAGGTTTTATTGTGCAAACCTGGAGCAGAATAACATGTTGACAACAATAGTGTAGAGGCACAGATGCATTTTTTTTGTCTTGTCACTAGGGGTAGGATGCATGTGTTAGAGATAAGTATGGAGCTGTAAGTGGGTGTTGGCATGTGTCTGGAGCTGAATGACTGTCTAATGAATATCACCTGGATCTGCTCAGGGTTCTGTTTGTTTGTTTGATACAGAGTGAGGCTGAGGCAGAGTTCTATTTCATCCCTACTGACCGGCAGAGTCGGTGCTTAAAGCACTGAATGATCACTCTTGCGCAGGTCGAGAATTAGTATCAACAAAGTCACCTGTGACCTACCGGTGATTAGCGGAAACCTATATAGGCACGTGACACCGGTAGTTCAGACCCTTCTCATCTTCTCGCACGCAGGTTTGTTATGAGCGGTTTCTTTCTACAGACTCGTGAGTTTTTCTGTATAACCGCTTCCTCCGTCGGCTTGCTGCTAGTAGCCCCGTGATCATTTGTGATCGGAGCTGCGGTCGTGCTCGCCCTCCAGGGGCTTGCAGAGTGACGGTTGTTGTGCCTACGGATCTCATCCGGTGAGTCTGTTTTTCTTTCCTTTTCCGAACCCCGCGGGCGGCGTCTCGCCCAACTGTGTTTAGTTTGGCGGCTGGTTTTCACAGCTGAAACTTCTCATTTATTTATCTCACCAGTGGCGTTTTCTGCCCGTGCTGAGTTCTTTGGTTTATCGGAATTAAACATGTGTTTTCTGTTATTACTTACCTCACCAGTGGCGTTTTCTGCCCATGCTGAGTTATTTTGTTTATCTGAACGGAAATGTATGGTTTTGTTTATATTACCTCGCCAGTGGCGTTTTCTGCCCGTACTGAGTTCCTTTGTTTTGCATAACTGAAACTGCTGCCTCTCGCACCAGGCAGCAGCTTGCAGGGCAGCTTGCAGGGTTAGTGACCGTTAGCCCACTAACGCTTGGGCAGCTTCTGGCTCGGGACGGCGCTCCTCTCGCTCGTCCAATGCCCCAGCCTTGCCTCGAGATCCCGCTTCAGGGGTCACTCGGGACCAGACAGTTCGGTCAGGGGCCCGGGCTTCGCACCTCTTTCGCGCTGTGGAACCAGTTCGGCCCGCCCCTAGGCCTCAGAGGGACAGAGGGGCCCGTAGATGATACATTGGGGCCGGTGGCTGGATATTTTACCCCGAGTCAACTTTCATACTGGAGCGAATGCACCCCAGATCTTTGGGTGCTCTCCACTCTGACCAGGGGATACCGTCTCCAGTTCCACCGCCGGCCCCCGTCTTACGGAGGGGTTCGGATGACCACCATCCGCAACCCTCTGATGGCACAGGCCTTCTCCAACAAGCTACATGCCCTGCTTGGCAATGGTGCGATAGTGCCTGTGGACCCCCTGCTGGATCCAGGGGGCTTTTACTCGGTGTATTTTCTGGTCCCGAAAAAGACTGGGGATCTCCGTCCAGTTCTGGACCTCAGGGGGCTTAACACCTACCTGAAGGACATGCCCTTCCGCATGCTTACCACCAAAGGGGTTCTACAGGCAATCTCCCCGGGCGATTGGTTCACATCAATCAATCTGAGGGATGCATATTTCCATGTTCCTGTGGCACAGGTTCACTTGCTGTTTCTCCGCTTTGCATTCCAGGGGCACCAATATCAATTCAGGGTACTCCCCTTTGGGCTCTCCCTGTCACCCCGGGTGTTTACCAGGGTTATGGCAGCAGCTCTATCCCCCTTGCAGGCGCGGGGGATTCGGATCCTGCCTTATCTGGACGATTGGCTGATTTGTTCCGCAACCCGCAGTCAGGCGATCCAAGACACTCAGTTGATGCTGTCCCATGTGCACCGGCTGGGTTTGAGGGTGAACTTGGAGAAGAGCAGCCTCACCCCCTCCCGGGTGACAGTGTTCCTGGGTGTTCTTCTGAACTCTGCCACCATGACCGCCCGCCCTTCCCCCCAGCGGGTGGCCGGTATTCTGAACATGTTGCCTGCCTTCCGGCGTGGCGCAGCACCACGGTTCCTGAAATATCTGCGCCTTCTGGGCACGCTGATCGCAGCTTCCAGTGTGGTTCCACTGGGGCCTCTTTCCCTGCGCTCTCTGCAGATGTGGCTGAACGGCTTGGCTCTGGACCCCGCCCGCCAGGCGCACAGGCACAGACGGATTCGCATTGCGTCACACTGCCTTCGATCTCTGTCCCCGTGGAGAAACAAGTCCTACATTGTTGGGTGGAGTTCTGCTCAGCCCCCTCCCATGCCGGAGGGAGGTCGTTTATACGGATGCTTCCATCCTGGGTTGGGGTGCAACCTGGCGGACCCGCACCGCGCAGGGGGTGTGGTCCACACAGGAGCAGAGGGAACACATCAATGCTCTGGAGCTACTGGCTGTGGCCCATGCACTCCAGACCTTTCTTCCAGGATTACAAGGGAAGCACATGTTGGTTTGGTCAGACAACCACGGTGGTCTACCATATCAACCACCAAGATGGGTCCAGGTCCCCAAGACTGCTGTCCCTGACACGCCGTCTCCTGGTCTTGGCCTCATCTTGCCTCACCAGTCTCAGGGAGGCCTATATCCCGGGCTGGCGCAACGGACCTGCAGACTTTCTTTCCCACACGTCGCCTCTTCCGTAGATCACATCTGGGGGACATTCAGCAGAGCGGGCGCAGATCTCTTCGCCTCCAGAGACACTGCCCACTGTCCCCTCTGGTTCTCCCTGTCAGACAGTTCCTGTCCTCTGGGGTGCGATGCGCTGGCCCACGACTGGCCCAGAACTCTCCTGTATGCTTTTCCCCCGTTGGGCCTGATTTCCCAGACCCTCCTGCGAGTTCTCCAGGAAGGGCACAGGCTCCTGCTGGTAGCCCCATTCTGGCGGGGCGAGGACTTGGTTTCCTCTGGTGCGCAGGCTTTGTTACAGCTCACCGATGCGCCTCCCACCCAGGAGGGACCTCCTGTCTCAACTGGGGGGTCGGGTTCTCCACCCTGACCCAGACCGCCTGCAGCTCTGGCTTTGGCCTCTACAGGGTCCAACCCGGCCTTCTCCCGATTTGGGGGTGACGTGGGCCACACAATGACTTGGGCATGGGTGCCATCCACCCGGGCTGCTTACACTGCAAGATGGGCGGCCTTTTCTACCTGGTGTGACGATAGGGGGCTGGACCCCATACGTTGTCCCATTCAACCCTCAGTGGCCTTCCTTCAAGGGTTACTTAACCGGGGTCAGTTCCCTTCCACCTTGAAGGTCTATGTGGCTGCCATTTCCCATTGGCACATTGGGTTCAGTGGCTGCTCTGTGGGAAGGTGTAGGGACATGGCGCTGTTCCTGAGGGGCGCCAGACGTTTGCGTCCTCCGAGGCGCCGGGTGGCTCCTACCTGGGATCTTGGCTTAGTCCTTCAAGCTCTTTATTCCCCACCCTTTGAGCCGATTGCAGCAGTGGACCTAGAATGGCTCTCCATGAAGACGGCCTTCCTGCTCGCCATGGCTTCTGGTAGACGAGTGGGGGAGCTGCATGCTCTGTCCGTATCCGAGCCTTGTTGTCGGTGGAACCCAGATGGCTCCGGAGTTACCCTGTGGACCAATTCTTCCTTTGTTCCGAAGGCCCCCGCGGTGGCAGGTACAGTCTTGCCGCTTCAGCTGTCCCGCTTCAAGCCCGGGACCCCTTCCGAAGCTCTGTGTCCAGTCAGAGCGCTGGACGCCTATGTTCGCACCACAGTGACCATTCGGCTGACTGACAGCCTCTTTGTATGCCATTCTGGCCCTAAGTGAGGTCGTGCCCTTTCCAAACAGAGGTTGGCACGTTGGATCGTGGGGGCAATATCTGTGGCATACTCTCTGCAGGGTCAGCCCCTGCCTCAGGGGTTGCGGTGCCATTCTACAAGGAGCCTGTCAACCTCATGGGCCGCAATGATGGGGGTGCCGCTGGAGTCCATCTGCAAGGCGGCCTCATGGTCTGTGCCGACCACTTTCATGAGGTTCTATAGAGTGAACATGGCTACACCTCTTCCTCTTCAGGGTATCCTGCAGCAACCACCAGCCTCATCCCACTGAGGTAGGTGCGGCTGCCGGTTTCCAGTGGGTTGCTCCTTACTTCTGCATCCCTCGGGACCTAGTTGGCATACGTCATTCACTGCTTTAAGCACCGCCTCTGGCGGTCAGTAGAGATGAAATAGAATGAAGGTTACATATGTAACCACGGTTCTATGAATCACGGATGACCGCCAGAGCGTTTGGTCCCTCGGTTCCGCTGGCTCACGAGAAGATCGAGGGACTGAACTACCGTTGTCACATGCCTATATAGGCTTCCGCTGATCACCGGTAGGTCACAGGTGACTTTGTTGATACTAATTCTCGACCTGCGCAAGAGTGATCATTCAGTGCTTTAAGCACCGCCTCTTTGTACAAAGCTTCACAAAAAGATAAGTACAATAAACATCCCTAACTGCAGTAAAGCTTGGATTCAGCTTGTTGAACAGATCCCTGCTCTCCTCTCTGTGAGTAATTTTTGGATGATAGTCACTTACAAATAGTATAGTGAAAAAGTTAGAATAGGAGTTTAATAAATATAATAAAATATATAAGTTTCAAGAAGTTTTGTATGATCAGAATAATGAAGATTGTGCTTTTATTCCACATTTGTCCATTTCTACAACATTACAGGTTTTCTTCAGCCCATTATAGTTATTTCTAAGGAATGTCTTGTAAAGCTGGAATTTAGGGGAAAGATTCAGGTTGCTTCAGTTCATTCCTGTAAATAATGGAGACAAAGTAGAGTTTGTTCTAACTCACCTTTCTGTCGACTGAAGCTCTTCCTCTTGAAGAAGATGAGCAGAGCTGCTGCTAACATGATGATCAGGATGGAAAGAATCAGACCCACATAGAGCAACAGACCTGAAGGGATGTTTATAGAAGAGTTGATTTAGTTTATCCCATCAGCTGCTCTGTTCCTCATAAACAGGCCATGTGCATTAATGTTCCTCCTTCATCAGCTGCTGATAAAAACAGAAGGTTTCTCTCCTATTGAACTCAGAGGACACAGCTTCTGCTGTCAAAGACCTTCAGAACATTCTGCTCTGATCAGATGCTCCATGCTTTATTGGCTTTTATTCGCTCTGATACAAATTAATTCAACATTAGACTCTCTGACCCTGTTAACTTGAACAGGTCTGAGCCTCACTGATGAACAAAGCTGGACTTTAACAGACCCAAATCATCTCCTGAACATCTAAACATGAACAGATAATGTACCTGAAGCTGCAGCTGGTTTCTCAGAGACTCTGCTGGTTTCAGAGGAGGATGGAGAAGGTGAGGAACTCAGACTCTGTGTTGTTGTTGTTGTTGTGGAGGCTGCTGGGAGAAAAGTTGATCTAATAAAAGGTCCCAGAGTCCATTTTGGTTCTGAAGAATCTGAGGATGTGGAGATTAAACAGAATCAGAACAACTGAGGTCAAAATTTACATTCTTCTTGATTTTATGATCCATGTTTGTCTTCATGAGTCACAGTTTGAACATGTTGGTCTTTAAAGTAGATCTGTTGAAAATCTGAGTGAAAAGTTTAAAAACAGAAAAACTCACCTTCAGTCACAGAGAGATAAAAATCATCATATTGAGTTCCCCTCCATGTATCAGAGCGACACTGGTACCGTCCTGAATCTGACTTTTTCAGCTTTGTGATGCTCACATGCAGATAATCATATTGTAGCTTTCCTCTGTCTTCATATCTAATGCTGTATCTGTCTTTGTTAAACATGCCTTCAGTCGTATTAATCAGAATATTTCCTCCTTCACAGGTTTCCTTACAGAGGAACCTTCTTTTTCCAGAGTTCTTAAATTCACATCTAACTGTGATGTTTCCTCCTTCCTTTCCACTGTAGGTTTTCACAGTTTCTCCATCCTGCAGAGCTGCTGAGGAGATAAACAGTCAGTAGTTACTGTTGATGTTTAATATAATACAGTTGAAATATACACTACCGTTCCAAAGTTTGAGGTCACATTGAAATGTCTTTATTTTTGAAGGAAAAGCACTGTACTTTTCAATGAAGATAATTTTAAACTAGTCTTAACTTTAAAGAAATAAGAGGAGATAAACAGTCAGTAGTTACTGTCAATGTTTAATATAATATAGTTGAAATATAGTTATAAATGAACCTGGATGCATTAGAATAAATTCACATTGAACCCAGAGTCTCAAACCAGTTCAGGCAACTGATCGCCTCCAATTAGATTATGTTTTGTTGCCTTTCAAAGGTTAAACTGAAGGAAACCAACATTTCTCTGAAACAACAGACCTTCATGGCTAATAACTACAAATGAGTTTCTTTTATTTTAATATAAATAATTTCTTAGGTTTTTGTGTTAAAATGACCAGTGTAAATCCTGAGATGTAACATGTCAGCGTATCTTAAAACAAAGAACCAGAATGATTCAGACAACATGAGGAAGTGTCACAGTTCAGATTAAAACTGTTGAACAAGACAAAAACCCTGATTAACTGTGAAAATTATAAAAGATGAAAGACTGAGAGAAAATAAAGTGATAGAAATAAAATAATGTACTCACTGAGGAAGAGGATGCAGATCAAAGTATAACAGACCTTCATCCTGAGCTGCTGATGGTTTCTAACTGCTTCTCTTCCTCTTTCACTGATAAACCAGGAACTTCTCTGAAGGATGGAGTTCCTCCTCTGACCACTAGAGGTCTTCTATACTGAAGCCTTTTAAGAAGAATGAAACCTAATCAGATGAACCAGTTTGCTTCCTTCATCAGAGGATGAAACTGGGCTCAATAAAGAATGAAGCTGCTGCTGCTTGAACACAGAGAGACGTCATAGAGAGAAACTGATTCTGCTCTGAGATGGTTTATTCCACACAAATTAGTCATTTAAAGACAGAAACTTTTATAGCATCAACATTTACTCAGTTACAGAATCTATTCCTCTGTTTTTATATCTATCTTCATATTTGTGATACTCCCAGTTATTTTAGCCACTCTATAACAAAAACATGTTTTAGCCCCATGAATTTGTTGATATTTTGCCTTGAACATCCAACCAAATGGTTCAGAAAGAGTCAGACGACTAATGCATCACATGATTGAATGAAATATAGAAATGAATAAACTCCACACAGCAGAGCAGACCTGATGTTTTTTGGATCTGTGGTTCTGGTGATGATCTCTGATCAACCTGCCAACACAGGCTATTCTTTGACATGTGGCACAACTGCAGAGGAGGAGTTCTCTGCATTTATTAAAAGACAGCAAAGTAAAAAATACACAAAATTTAAATAATGCGAGGAGATGTTGGGCCATAATCCATGATAATAAATAATTTTATTATTAATAATTGGTTCTCAATGTCCATTTATCATCTTAGCATGTTCAGTGGAGTAGAGCAGTGGTTTTCAAAGTGGAGGCCGCAATGGGGCGCCAGGGGAGGATGGAGGAAAAAAAAAAAGTTATACATGAAATTATTTTATTGAATAATAATAATAATTAAAATATTCCTCTCTGGGTATAACTGCATTAATGAAAATCATTCACATTAAGCTTACAAATAATATTTTTAAATAATGCATAACTTTCTAATTGGTTGGCATAGCCATGACCATGCTTAAAACCGTCCAAACTTAAACAGCATTTACAACAGAAACATCCAGCGGAGGCTGAAAAGTCAGCGGAATATTTCAAACGCAAGGAGGAACAAATAACGAAGCAGACGAAAACATTTGTGCAGCAAGCTATCGTCTCCGAGAGAGCACTGTGAGCATCCTATGCAGCATCGTACCACATAGCTCGGGCAAAGAAGCCCCACACCGATAGAGAAGGTTTCTTACTTCCAGCAAGCAAAGACAAGGGTCGGGAAATGCTTGGTGAGGACGAGGCAAAGAAAATGGATGCTATACCACTTTTGGACAACACGGTGTGTAGGCGAATAAATGACATGGAAGAGGACGTTTCTAATCAACTTTTGGACCAGGTAAGAGCAAGTGACTATTTCGCATTGCAACTGGACGAAAGCACTGATGTGGCTAATGCCACGCAACTGCTCGTCTATGTTAGGTATATTCAAGGAGAAAAGTTTGCAGAGGAAATACCTTTCTGCAAGGTGCTTGAACGTAGGGCCACGGGAAGGGAGATTTTTGGTGTCTTGGACGATTATATGAGGACAAATAGACTTGATTGGTCCCGTTGTGTTGGAGTATGTTTGGATGGGGCTGCAGCCATGACAGGGAGACACAGCGTAGTGACCGCGCTAATAAAACAGAAAGCCCCACACGTCATTTTCACACAATGTATGCTCCATCGCGAAGCCCTTGTAGCTAAACGCATCGATGTCAAGCTTAACCATGTACTGCAGGAGACCGTGCAGGTGGTTAACTTTATTAAAAATCGCCCCGTGAAGGACCGCCTCTTTGGCATTCTGTGTGATGAAATGGGAGCTCCGTTTAAAGGATTGCCTCTTCATTCAACTGTACGCATGCTTTCTCGAGGGTCAGTTTTTAACCGTGTATACGAGATGCGTAGGGGGGCTTAAAGGAGAAAAGAGACCCAAGGCCTCACGGATTCCAGGAGGCAGACTTGGAGTGTCTCATGTGAGTGTCCTGAGTGAAGTGGGTTCAGAGGAGTGGTCTTGGACTTGGGATCCAGGGTTCTATGAAGGAGGAAACAGAGAGCGGGGTTAGGTTCAGGTTAAATGAGGAAGCAAGGCTAGGAAGGAGGCTTTTTGTCTTACCATGATGATTGGCCAAAAGTTGAATGTTGAATAAGAATAGAATTCAACTTTATTGTCATTCCACTGTCACAAGAACAGAGCAACAAAATGAACTCTCTGCATTTAACCCATCCCCTTGGGGAGCAGTGGGCTGCCATTATGCGGTGCTCGGGGAGCAGTGCGGGGTTAAGGATCTTTGCTCAGGGACACAGAGTGGCAGTCTGTGGGAGTGGGGCTCAAACTCAGAACCTCAGGAATCCAAGCTCTATGTCCTAACCACTAGGGTGCAGCTAACCAATTTAACCTAAGAACAGGATGTATATATTTTAAAATTCATCCACAAGGAACATATAAAAGTAGCAACTCATGATTAAACTAATTTATTTGAAGTAGAAGCTCTGAAATTCACAGAAGCCTTTCAGTTTCTATCCTAATGATTAGTTCAAGCTCAGCAATACTGGTTTTAATTACAGAATAAAAAAAATGACCACAAATTCAGCAAAAGACAGGGGTGACAGAATATCACATGTGCTGCATTGTTTCCTGTAGCTGCTGTTATTGCAGACCCTCCCTGTATTTTTAGTGGAAAACGCAACATTTTAATATATAATCTGTAGTTCTATAAGGGGACTTTTACAGCCAAAGTAAGTATACTATTTCAATGACTCATTGCAATCAGCCGATTTTACTTAGAAACTTTGAACCAATCTGACTGGATGATCTGGTTGAATTGTCTTTGTAAAGGGCCTTCAGAAGACATGTGTTGTAAATTGGCGATATATAAATGAACTGAATTAAACTGAATTTAATTGTTTACAATTAAACAACCATTTAGAATACTTTACATGATTATAAACAGCAATAGCTCACGCAGGAAGTCTAAGACCACTTAAACTGAAGATGCCATTGTAGCGGATGCTGAGGTCAGACTGCTCAGAGGTTTTGAAACCATCTGCAAACATAAACCCAGCAGAAAAACCAACCTCACTTTGTCTTCAGATTAGCTCAAGGACAGTATATTGTTTTTTTCATTTGTTTCATTTTTAAAATAATTTTGTTTAAAATGGTTAAATATTTAAAAATTTACCCACATGTATATATTTAATTCAATTCAGTTTATTTATATAGCGCCAAATTCACAATTTTACAGTTCAACCAGATCATCCAGTCCACATAAAAAGCACTGCTCTCTCACCAACCCATTTTACTTCCTGGGCAGGGCGGGTGGTTCATTCATTACTTAAATTGGTATTTTTCCAGTTTCTCATATTCTTTTTTCTAAAGTTTCCATGATTTGGGATGGCCCCATCAATCACTAGAGCTGACCTCTGCTGCTTATCAATCATCACACTGTGGCAACGCCAACCATTGTTTTGTACTCACACTCACACACACCATTGCGGGTGGCCTTCCCCCCTTTTTACTCTAAGATGGGCTCCTCTACCAGAGCCCTGGGAGCCTGAGGGTTCTGCCAGTATCTTAGCTGTTCCTAGAACTGCACTCTCCTGGACCGAGATGTCTGATGTATTTCCAGGGATCTGCTGCTCCTCCAGTTTGGGGGTCGCTGCCCCGAGGGCCTGAATGACCACTGGTTCCACTGATGCCTTGACCTTCCAGGTTTTCTCGAGCTCTTCTCTGAGCTCCTTGTATTTCTCAAGTTTTTTATGTTCCTTTTTCCTACAGTCACTTGGTATTGCTATGGCAACCACAACAGCTTTCCTCTGTTTTTTGTCTACCACCACAATGTCTGGTTGGTTTGCCGTTACCATTCGGTCCATCTGTATCTGTAAGTCCTACAGGATCTTGGCTCGGTCATTTTCTGTCATCTTTGGAGGTGTTTCCCACTTTGACCTTGT